GCAACAAGTTAATACAATGATACATACTAATAGCCTATTACAGATATTTTATACAATGACAATAGCCAAGGACAAGTGGCTTTATTTAAGAGATATTTTACTTTTAACTGACAATCATGATCTCTTACTAACTAATCACCCTTTACATATCTACCTCTTTTATTATAACTACTTAAATAATATTCATAATAAATTATGAAAAAACTCTTATCTTGTAGGCTGAAAAAAGTGGAAACACTTCTTTGAACATGATGAATTTTAAAATAGAGGAACAATTCATACACATGGATTTGCCTATACAGAAAAAAAAACTTCTGAGTTAATCTTACTTAACACTATTTATGCTAATATTCCTGACTCTCATACAGACCCCAATTTATATTCTTTAGTCACAATCTTTCAAATACACCATTGCGATCATAGATACAGACTTTCAGATTAGTATTTTAACTCAAAAATTAATTAATTGATAATTGATCAAACTAATTAATTAATCAACTAATTGACTATTAATCAATTAACAGTTAATTAATTGATCAATAAATTGATTAATTTTTATGTAATAACATGATTAATCTTGCAATTAATTAGCTATGCAATATAGCATGCTAATATTGAGAACTCAAAAAATACAAATTTTGTTTAAACATTTTGATGTTGCAAATAGCAATATTAAAAATTAGTTAGTGATATGTTTATTTCGATAATAAATTCTAAATTAAAATCTTTTTGATATTTATTCACCTATTATTAAAGCACATACTATTAAAAACTATGTGAACTTTAGTATAAATTTAATTTATTTATTATATATCAAAAACTTTCAAACCTAAAATTTATTAATTGTTGCAGCTAAAGCCAGAAATAGCTAAAGCTGAAAATTAAGAACCTTAATTTAAAAATATAAACTCTACCAAAATCTATTTATACTTTTTATAATTAAAACTATTCATAAGTTCTAACCTGATTCTAAAAAAAAAAAAAAAACCTAATAAAAAGCCTCAAAAATTTTAAAAATTTTTGTATTAAAATAATTAAAATTTTCAACTTCAGCCATTTTACCTTTAGCCACAACAATAATCAATATAGAATATCAAATATTATAATCAGTAATCTTAGCTATAATTTTGCTAATTGATTAGTCAATTAATCAATTAATCAACTAATTAATTGGTTTACAATAATCACTTTTAAAATTCTTACTAGTTAATCAATTGCATTTTTTATTTCAATTTGTAATACCTTTAAAGCTACAATGAAGAACAATACTCTAAAGGATTCCTTTAATTTTTATTCAAAAGAACATATTGCATCTCTGATAATTTACAATATATCTAACATTACACTAAAGAAAAAAATAAAATGGTTGTTCCATACCATTCTGAAACACTATTAATCTGGAGAAGACATATAAATTTTCAATATATTATATCTAATAGATTTGCCAAATATATAACAAAATACGTAACAAAAGCAAAACCTTCTAAGTTTTTTGATATTGATGAAGCAGATGATTATAGAAAGCATGTTATGGCTTGTAGATTAGGTGCTATGGAGTTGATGGTTCTTTTGTTACAATATCTCTTAACAAGATGTTCTGTTATGGTACTCTATCTCCCTTCTGCTCCTTTTGAGCTCAGACCAAGATCCATTAAACCTGCTTACTTGCTAAATCAAATAGTCAATAATAATAATGATGATGATGAAATTCTATATTAGAAAGATGCAATTGACAAATATTTTGATCATCCCAATTATGAAATTTTCACTAATATGACATACCCCAACTACTTTCGTGATTACATAATTGGAACTAGACAAACTAGCAGTAACTCAAATACATTTCATTGCTGTGACCAAAAAAATAGATTAATAATAAAAAGAAAAATGCCAATCCTTCTAAGATTTACTTTTTACAAAATTAAAGATGATGATTTTTTTTTTTCTCAATATCTTATAATAAAAATTCCTGCAAGATCAAAACAAGATCTACTTGGAGGATTTGAAACTTATAGAGACTATTTTCAAGCAATATTTTCAATAAGATATTATCAAGCAACAAAATCTCTTCGCAAAAGCTATTTAAATCAAAAAAATCACTTATCTAAATCATATATTTCCATATTAAGGACTCTTCTTCGTGATTTAAAAAACTGTGACCTATCAGACCTTATCTTCAATCAATTTCTTTTATTAAAAAATATTGACTATATCTAGACAGCTGATCTTTATTATCTATAAACACTAAACAATATCAAATCTACTTCACCTTATATAACATATAGAGAAAATTATCTAATGGAAAATATTCTTAATTTTTTTTAATAGGGTTAGCTGGAATAGGCAAAACATTTTTATTATCAGCTGATTTCTTTTCTTCAATCAAAAAACAAAAATTACTTACTTATAGTCTCTACTAAAGTCGCAGCTTATAATATTGGTGAAAAGACCATACATTCTATATTAAAAATCTGTTTCTGTAATAAACAATATAAAACTCTAATCCACTCCAGTATTACTGATGAGACAAATCTAAAAAAAATAGATTTTATAATTATAGAAGAAATTTCTATAATAGATAGAAACTTATTTATCTTCATTAGTAATATTTTTGCCAAAATTCATAACAATAATCTTGTATTTGGAGGAATACCTACTTTAGTAGTAGAAGACTTAGCTCAGCTACCTTCTGTAAAACCAAAACATGTATTTCAATCTCTATCATGGTTACCTTTCTTTCTACTATATTTAACCATTTCACAATGTCAATAAAACAATATTGAATTCTATAATATCCTACAAGAAATAAACTATCAGACAGATCTAAAAGGATTATACAATCAAAAATTAATGACTCTGATAGATTCTACAATACCACACACATCATCAACACACATCAAGCAGCTTACAATATAAATGAACTCCTATGCATCTATCTTCCCTTTGACCACAACACTAATGAGCCATTGCTCTCAATTTTTGAAGATATTTTAGACTTCAAAATCTTAGATAATACACACTCTATTTCACAATTCAAATATTCAACAAACTTACCCTATTCTATACATTTACAAGAAGAGGCCTGAGTTATGTTTCTAAATAATCAACTTTTTGATAATAATATCTGCAATAGTTTAATTGGAATAATAACCAAAATTATCGATCACAAAAATGTAGAAGTTACTTTTTCCACTTTTACTAATATAAGTAGAATCATTGTTCAAAAAAAAACAATATATTTTTATATTGATGGGAAAAGAGCTTCTAGAAAACAATTTTCACTCCAAAACATCTTTGCTCTCACTGCCTATAAAGTGCAAGGCTTAACTCTACTTCACGTAACTACTAGTATTAATGAAACTATATTTGCAGAAGGTCAATCTTATATAGCAATGAGCCGTGCTACCTCATGGAAAAATCTCTGTCTTTTTCACTTCGATCATAAATACCTAAAATGTTCTCGATTTGCCTTAAATGAATATAAAAGATTAGATACAATACATGCCAGGGGTCTTCAAAACTTAACCTAGATCTTAGAATTTAATAAAAATTTAATACAAATCCATTTCATAATATATCTCTTAATTGCCATCAACCTATATTTGAAAATTTTAAAATTCAAAAAAAAAAATTTTAATTCTACATTTAGATAAACTTAGCATTCTATCATAGCCAAACAATCTCGCGAATTACCTGTCTTAACATACTCTAAATCTTCTAAATCATGCCCCTACTTAATCTGCCGTAGCTTAAAAATAATTCTATAACTAATAGTCACTCAATAGTTTATAACACTTTTTTAAAAATTAAAAAGTAATAATGATAATTCTTAAAATTTTTAAGCGGCTTATTCACCACAAATAATTACACAGCAGTTTACCAGATCACAAAAAAATTTTTACACTACTGGGACAAATTATGTCGATCATAGGCCTGAACATTACTGACATAATAAGTTTATGATTTCGGCATGATCTTAGCATAAAGATGTGGCGAATCATTGGAATGACAAATAAGCATTAACACACATGTGAGAGACCAACATGAGGTTGATTCCAACGATTAGTAATCATAAAAAATACTAAATGACCTCACGTTGGACCAACCTCATGTTGTCTCATATTTTATTTTCCATTACACCTCAATGCCAAATTCACATAACATTTCTGACAATTAAAATTACAATACGACAAGGTGAAACCCGCGAAAGTGGTTACGTTATTGATGCAGATCACTATCTAATATAGTAACTAACCCTAACTAACCCTAACTAAGATCCGCATCAACAACGTAACTATCTCTGTTGCCCTTTCATATTATAATTTTGCATACTAAATATAACTCGATTCGTTTCAGTAAAACGAATTGAATGGTATTCGATTCTGATCAGTGCTATCGCAGAAAACACAAGTGCCCACCCGCGCTACGTATAATACACATATCTGATATATGGGCTAGATGCTACAAAATCGACAAATTATACAAATTTTAAAGACCTTTAAAAAGCTATCTTTTTGCAATATAAAAACAAAAATATAATAAAAGTTGGTTTAAGAAGTCTTGCACTAGTAATTATCGTTATAATTTTTATTATAATTTTATTTTCTATTCTTTGTTCAGAGTTTATGCAGTCTAACGTTTTCTTGCAATTATCACTGACATATTCCTTGACTAAAACGTATAAAGAATATAGATTTTCTCCTTTTTATCAATAATTTGATTTCTGATTGAAGAATCTTTTCTACGTCCTGAATTCGTCAGTATCTGTCTTCGTTGAAAGAATAGAGCCTGTTTTTTTCTGTTTTTTTTTTTCCTGACGAAAAAGTTGGCCAAATTAAGCTGCTATAATTATGGGAAAAGATTAAATAAAATCTGTATCAAACTCGTGCTACCGGTTTGTGGCTTTGACTGATTATATGGCTTTGATAACACTGCTATAGATATATAAATTGATTATAATTCAAGCAAAATACAGATCGTCTTTTCTAATCCTTCCCGTCATGGTTCAATCGGAGAGTAGTGGCATTGAGAAATGGCTTGAAGAAAACAAATTTGCCCAGTTCCTGTTTAAAATTGGAAATTACATTCCAGTAGTGTTTCTAATAGCATTAGTTTCTTGGTCTTATTATGCTTTCGTGATTCGTTTATGCCTTCTATATCTGCTAAACGTAAATCCTACCCAAGGTAAAATGACGTAAAAGTGTCTATTATTCCCTTCATGACATATATCACCGTGTAACGTATAAATTGAATCATAATAAAGGAGTGGTGTATCTCGTTCTCTACCATCCACTTCTTGTATTAATGATGTGGAGTTATTTCAAAGCTACACTAACTTCACCCGGATATTCTACCGATGTAAGTCAGGTTTAACGTTTATTAATACCAATATTATGCAAGATTAACCTCTTTTTATTGAAATAGCCACCGATAGCTGGCTCAAAAGGTTCACATCAATCAATTTCCTATCATTCCGTGGAACAACGCAGATCTAACTCTGCTCAAAATAGTATTGATAGTAATTCACCAATTCACCTCGATGACATAGAAAATAGAGATAGTTCATTTGACGTTCCTGCCACTAAATCCAAAACCATTGTTTTGGATGAAAATGGAAACCCTGTATCCGTGGGGTCAATAATGGTAAAGCAGAGTGGTGAAAAAAGATATTGCCAAAAATGCCAACACGATAAGCCTGATAGAACACATCACTGTAGAGTCTGCAAGAAGTGAGTACATTTTCTTTAATTAAATCAATGAATAGTTGTTGAAATCTATATTGACTTTTAATCACTTTCTTTAGGTGTGTTTTAAAGATGGATCAGTGAGTACTATTAATATTAATCGTTGCAGCAGATGCTGAAATATGGGATCTTAATTTGAAAACATAAGTCCTGCTAAAATACACATATACCCTTTAATTATCAATCTTAATCCTAATCTTAACCAAACCTTAAAGAAGCTGATAAAAAAAATCATATATCAAAATAAGTCCAAATTTCAGCATCAGCCGTGACATTAGCCTTGTTATATTATTTTAATATACAATTCTTAATCTTATCGTTATTTTTTAGTCATTGTCCGTGGTAAATTAAGCGCTTTAATTACACACCCTTATTATAGTGAGTTAATATTAAGTACTTTTATTATTTTATAAGGCTGAATAATTGTATAGGATTTCGCAATCATAAGTACTTCTACTTATTTATCGTGTGGGGCACCATATATTGTTTCTTTGATTTTATAATTATGTTTTGATAAACTTTCTAAAGTTGTCTGATTGGAAAACAATAGAGAAGTATGATATAC